GATAGCCAGAGAAAATACCTGGAGCTGAGAGATGGAGTGTCTTTTTTGTGGAACATCCAGAAGGCCAATGTCACTGGATTGAAGAGTACATGTTGGGGGAGTAAGGTGTAAGAAGACTGGAAAGGTAGGAGGGGGCCAGGTTATAAAAAGCTTTGAATGCCAAAAAGAATATTTTGTATGTGTTCCTGGAAGCAATAGGAAGCCACTGGAGTTTGAGTAGGGAGGTAAGTGGTCAGACCTGCACTTTAGGAAAATCACTTTGGTGTGTGAATGGAGGATGGATTGAAGTGGGGAGAGACTTGAATCAGGCAGACCTACCCTCAGGCTGTTGCTGTAATCAAAATGTGAGGTGATGAAGGCCTGTACTAGATGGTGACAGAATCAGAGGAGAGAAAGGGGCATATAGGAAAGATGTTTCAAAGGTGAAAATGACAGGCCTTGGCAACAGATTGGATATATGGGAATGAGAGATAGTGAGGCATCCAGGATGACTCCTAGGTTGGGATTCTGAGGGACTAGGAGAATGGTATCGCTTTCTACAGTAATAGGGAAGATAGGAGGGGAGGAGGGAAGTTTAGGGGGAAAGATAATGAGTTCTGTTTTGGACATATTGAATTTCAGATGTCAAATGGACATCCAGGATGAGATATCTTGAAAAGCAGTTGGATATTTGAGCTTGGAGGTCAGCAAAGAGATTGAGGCAGGAAAAGTAGATTTGAGAATCATAAGTAGGGTGGTAATTTAATTCATGGAACTATTGAGATGACCATGTGAAGTAGTATAGAGCAGGGCTTCTTAAACTTTTTCCACTCAAGATCCCTTTTTGCCCAAGAAATTTTTATGCAACCCCAGGTGTATAGGTATATCAAATAGGTATACAAATCAAACATTTACTGATAATAAATCATAAAGAAATTTATTTTAAAACAATTCTTTGGTATGCATATAATTTTACCATTTATTAAAGATGAAAGATATTTTCATACTAATGAGATGGATGTGCTTGTTTATTTTTATATAAAGAAATAAATCTTGGTGAATACTTGATACTTCAGAATTAAAGTATCTTCAACATTTTTCAGAGTTGATAGATATTTTTTGTAATTTATGTATATATATTATATTATATACTTTATGTGGTTATGTTATATATTATATAATATATATTTATAATTACATTTTTAAAATTTTATTTATATATCTTTTATTCCTATATCACTTGTTCAAGTGATCCTATTCCATCCCATATTTAAAATCATATGATTTAAAAAATATAATATAATTATATATATATATAATTTTTACAATCGTCAATGCTGAGAACACCGCTTTGCATAAATACATAGTACAAAATGGCAGATGTATGTTTGGGGCCATTTCAGAAATTGTTGGAAATTCTGTCCTAATCCCAAGCCAAAATTCATTTAACGATTTTGTATGTACAGTAAAAACACTGTAATTCATAACATATAATAGTCTCGAATCTGGGCTGAGGTGTTTCTGGCAACATTCATTGGTATTGTGTGGCATGATGGCATATGTAGTGCAAAGTGTGCATGCTGTGTGTTCAGAACCAAGGCTGCAGTGAAGTCACATGACATAATACAAGCAGCTGCCAGAAAAACCTCGGATTCATTGCATGTTTGATTTTGAATTAGTTTTTTTTTTAATCTAGGCAATGGGGTTAAGTGACTTGTCCAGGGTCACACAGCTAGTGAGTGTTATGTGTTTGAGGCCAGATTTGAACTCAGGTCCTCCAGCCTCCAGGGCAGATGCTCTATCCACTGTGCCACCTAACTGCCCCCTTGAATTAATTTTCGGTGTGTTCAGAAACCTTTTACTCTTGCCAAATTTTTCGTGACCCACATTCAGTTACGTGACCCCTATGGGGTCATGACCCGCAATTTAAGAAGCACTGGTATAGAGGGAAAGGAGAAGAGGACTAAGCACCCATACAGTCCTGAGGGGATGCCTACATTTAGGAGGCGTGGTCTAGAGGAAGATCCAGCAAAGGAGACAAAGGAGTGATCAGATAAGTAGGACGAAAACCAGGAGACAATGGTATCCTGAAAACCTAGGGAGAAGAGAGTATCAAGGAGGAGAGAGTGATCAACAGTATCAAAGGCTGCAGAGAGGTCAGGGATTAATAAAAGGCCATTGGATCATTAGTAACTTTGGAGAGAGCAGTTTTAGTGGAATGATAAGGTCGAAAGCCAGATTATAAAGGGTTAAGAAGGAGTGAGAGGAGATAAAGTGGAGGCTCCTATTATAGGTGACCTTTTCAAGGAGAGAGTGGAATAGAAATAAGATTGCAGTGGGGATGGAAAGATCAAGTGAGGTTTTTTGTTTTGTTTTTGTTTGTTTTTTTAGGCTAGAGGAAAGGAGCAAGGAAGAAATTAGTACACAGGGAGAAATTGAAGATTAGAGAGAGAGTCAGAATGATATTGGGGGTGGTCTGCTGGAGAAGATTGGAGGGAAGGGAACAAAGGTGCATAGAATGGGGTTGATCTTGGCAAGTAGAATGATTGCCTTTTCATTAGAGACTAGAAAAGAAGATCATAGAATATGATGTTAAGGGGATGTGAGTTAAGGGGGAAAGGAGAAGAGGAAGCTCTTCATGAATAGCCTCATTTAAAATGAGTCATTTTTTTTCAGTGGAGTATGACAGGAAGTCCTCAGCCCAGAGTGTAGGTAGAGGGTGCCATGAGAGCCTTGAGGAAAGAAGAGAAGTTATGGAACAGCCTCTGGGATTAATGGGGTATAGAATAAACTAGGAAAGAGTAGAAAGAATGCCTTGCTGTTTGTAAGGGTCTAGCTGAAATTAGACAACATATATTTGTAGTGTATACAATCAGTGTAGTTTTAGGACTTTCTCCAGTTCAGCTCAATAACATGTTAGTAAAGAATGAAGGAGTGGGTGGTGAGAGTAATCCAGGGTTAGGATTTGACAAGGAGGAATCAATGATAGAACAGAGTCAAAGGGATTTGAGAGTAGGGGATGATGTAGAGTTGAAGTAGTTTACCAAGGAGTTGAGACTGGGAAAGCTGAATTATCTTACTACTGGGTCCACTCAGAATTTATGTTACGTGACTTCAAGTGGGCTCTCATTGCTATTAGGCAATCCTACTGTACCTTCTTTATCAATTCACAATCCCACTCTCCACAGCAGCTTTTCCAAACTTTTTTATCTCTCTTCAAACCTCCCATGGCTCCCCCTCCCCCTATACTCTCTTGCCTCATATTTTACTGAGGCCATTCACTGTGATCTCTCTCTTCTCCTCTCTTTCTCCTTTACTATCACTAAAATGCCTTCTGCCATTTTCTTCTTCTTCACCCCTGTTTCACATGATGAAGTGGCCCTACTCCTTACCAAGCCTAACCCCCTCCACTTGTTCAAGTGATCCTATTCCATCCCATCTCCTCCAACAGATTGCCCCCTCTGTTATCTCCACTCTATTACTTATTTTCAATCTCTCCCTCTCTACTGGTTCCTTCCTACTACATGCAAACATTTGGTCCAACCATCCCCACTAGCTAGTGTCCTATTTTTCCCCTCTCTTTTTCCTTGAAAAAGGTGTCTATGCTCAGTCCATCCACATCCTCTTCTCAACAATTCTACTATCTTCTAAACCCTCTGCAATCTGACTTTTTAACTTCAACTTTCAATTGAAAATGCTTTCTCCAAAGTTATCAAGAATCTCTTAATTGCCAAATCTAACGACCTTTTCTCAGTCCTCTATATTTGACAGTTTGTCACCTCTTTCTCAATACTCTCTCTTCTCTAGGTTTTCATTTCACTTCTCTCTTCTCTTCCTTTCTGTTGGATTGCTCTTTCTTAGGGTCCTTTGCTGGACTTCATCCTTGATGTACTCAATGAGTGTTGTTAGTATGCTTATTGACATACTCACTTTGTCCTGGGCTGTCTTCCTAATTTGCCCACTTAGTGATTTCATCAGCTCCCAGGGGTTTAATTATCAATGTAGATAATTCACAGATCTATTATCTCTAACCCTAATCTCTCTCCTGAGCACCAGTCCTGCATCACCAATTGTTAAACATTTTAAACTTGATAATCCATAGGCATCTCTCACTCAAAACGTCCAAAACAGAACTCATTCTTTTTTCTCCCAAACTTGTCCCTGTCCTGAATGTCCCTATTACTTTTGAAGATACCACCAGGCTCACAACCTCAGTGTCATTCTCGATTCTTCAGTCTCACTTACCCCATATATTCAGTCAGTTGCCAAATCTTACCATCTCTGACTTCACAATATCTCTTACTTATGTCTCCTTTTGCCTACTCACACAGCCTCCATCCTAGTCCAGGTCCTTGTCACCTCTTGCCTGGACTACTGCAGTAACTTTCTAAATGGCCACTTGCCTCAAGTCTTGCCTTGCTTTACTCCATCTTCCACTTGGTTACCAAAGTGATTTTGCTAAAGCTCAGATATGACCATAGCATCACCTTAATAAATTCCAGTGGCTTTCTCACTGTCATTCATACAGTCAACAAACATTTAGTAGATTGTTCTGCTTTGTTCAAGGCATAGGGCATGGCACAAGTAATGTTCCTACTGGGTGCAAGACATTGTGCTAGGACTATTCATTATCTATTACCAATATACTATCTTTTGGAAAATGCTGTCCATATCCAGAAAAAGAATTATGGAGTCTGAATGCAAATCGAAGCATATTATTTGCTCTCTCTCTTTTTTTCTTCTTTTTTTGTTTGTTTCTTCTGTCCTGTGATTTCTCCCATTGGTTATAATTCTTCTTTACAACATGACTAATGTGAAAATAGGTTTAGTATGAATGTATAATGTAGAGCCTATATCAAATTTCACGCCATCTTGGGGTGGGGGAGGGGAGAGATGGGGAGAAAATGTGGACCTCAAAATCTTATGGAAGTGAATGTTGAAGACTAAAAATAAATAAAGTAATTTAAAAAATTTTTTTAAATAAAGCAATAAAAAAAAACAACATACCATCTTCCCTAGCAGTGGGTTTATTGTTTCCTTGTTTGCCTTCTTACTCTTAAAAAAGCATAAATATCCTTTTTTTGTTTTTCTGAGCAATTTATACAAACTCCAGCTTATGCTTCTTTAAAAATATTTATCCTTGGTCATATGCCTTAGCTTACACATTTTGAATATGTCTTTTTAAAACACGAGGTCATCAGAGAAATCACATTCCCTTGACCTTGTCATACAAAGCCTAGCAGACTAGGCAACAGCCCAAAAGAACATTGTTTATATACCCTGTTATTGCTAAAATAAAGAAAGGATACACTGTCAGGTGAGAAAGAAGATGAGAAAACCTATACAAGCAATGACTATGAGAAAAAAAGAACATCACCCACCACAAAAGAGGCTTATTCTCTTGACACCTCTTCCCTGTAAAAGTAACCTAAAGAAAGTAGGTCTTGCACAAAACTCTGAGATTGAGAGTCCTGTCGAAACAAAACAAAACAAAACAAAACAAAAAATCCTATCAGTTCAAACTTGATAAATGACAATTCAATCAATATGTTTTCTTAATTTTCTTCTCAGCCTGCAAAGTGACCCCAGTATATTCACCAGAATGAAGTTCCACAAAGCTATTTTCTTCCTTTCTTCAGCTAAGCAGCTGCCACTAAATGGAAAGGAAGAGTCCTTAGTTTAAAACATGCCTTTAGAATAAAATGGAATTGGAAATGCCTCAAATCCATTTTAGAGACATCTTTCCTGTCAAAAATCAATATAGCATTTGCATTATACAATGTGCCAGTTCATAAAGTATAAACTGCTAAGACCCTCAATTTAACATTCTCTGAGATGATATTAAATTCCAGATTTTATATCTGCTATTGCCTATTTAAGACTGAGTTGTAAATCTAATGTCTCTCCCCAGCTTACAACTCTGACAATGCTCAATAAAAACTTTTATAATCAAGTTCAATAAAGAATCACAAATCTCCATCTTGTGATTTTTACGTTACAACAAACTTCGTAAATAACTTTGCCCTGCCTTGACATTTGCCAGTTTGTGTCCTTTTTTAAAGGAGGAAAGAAAAATACTGTGTAAACTCTCCATCTCAGGCAGAAATGATTCTTAGCGAAGGATTCAGAAATGATGTCTCTATAGCATCTTTCTTTGATACTGGTTCATGAAAAGAGTCAGAAAAGTGAATATTTTTGTAACATATGTGTGTGACCTGTCATCTGTATAGAATACTCACCTGGCAAAGGAAGATAGTATTTTCCTAAAATTTTCACAAAGCAATACTTTTCTAAAATTTCTTTTTTATTATTACAAAATTGACAAATATCAATGAACAATAACATTTACTTTGCAATGAAGAACAGAAAAAAGAGGCTTATATATATTACCTTGAGACTTGAATACAATTCAGCTTGTTTTTTTAAACTCTGAAGTGCTCCCTTTGTCCTCACTCTTCTAACTCCCACTTGAACTGGCAGGCTGGGTTCCCAGAGGGTGGCTGGTTACTGCTCTCTTCTGGATTCTAGAGGTAACCTTGAGAGCTTGTAGCTTCTAATACTGTTACTCATGAGACCCCGTCTGGTATGCTCCCTCAATATTGATCAACCAGTTGACATTAGTTAGCTGTTAGAAAAAAGGTATTTACTGAGATGGTATATAATAAACAGTAGTTACAAAACATTCCCCACCCCAAACCATGGTGTACACCCTTCTCTGACACATGCAATGTTCTTGGGGAGAATGGGCTCAGATTTAAAGTGCAAAGGTAGTGAGATTTACATTTAGTGAATACATTGGACTGCTGTGTACCTTACAACTTCTGACACTGGGTAGTCTTTTCTCTTTTTTTTTGCAGAGTCATTACCGAATTTGCTGTGGGGCAATACGTGGGTAATAGTAGACTTACTCCTTTGTTTAGCTGAACTGACTCCTTGTATGAAGTCTTAACTGATAGGTCAGTCTTCAGTTGGTCTGGGTCAAGCAGGTTGCTTGTGTGATGGACTCTTCATTAGACTCAACTATTGCTGCCATTCTCTCAAGACTCTGGTTGTTTGTGGAACATTGGGTGGCTTTGGTGGATCTCCTGGTGACTTAGGCACTCACATTTCAGGATATCCATTCGCCTGAGTTAAAGAAAAAATAAACAGAGAACACTGTGTGTTCATGGATACATAGTGACTAGATAGGGAGATAAGGCTACTAACTCCCTGCAACCCCCATTCTGCCACAAGCACCTCACCGCAATCCTAGAAAACTTTCAGGGAAGAGGTAGAGGTAATCTGTTCTAATCTTTTGTATTCACACTCAATTCTGGTTCAGCCTCCTATATCATCAGTCCTTCTGGTTCCTCAGCAAATCAGAAGATTCTTTGTCACTCCACACTGCCAGACCCTCAGTCATTCGTAGCCAGAAGAAGGCTTACCAAGGTTCCACATGTTGGATTTCCTAGATGGGAAATATTGTTCATGCTTTGATGTAGAGGAAAGGTCTGTTTGACAAGATGTGATTTAAAAAATTTTTAATAAATATTCATTAATAATGTTACTCTATAGTCTTTCTTCTTTCTTTTGCTAGTCTAAGTGATGTGGATACAAATAGTGGCCTAAGGGCTAAAAGAATATTAATGGTTGTTTTTTCAGTATCTTGTGAGGTCCCTCCTGAGCTTGAGGGCATCCTAAAGTCTCTTCCCCTTATCTTGAGATATCATAAAACTTCCCTTTATCCTGGACCATAAAATTCCTTGTCTCCCTCATCCTGAGTCATAAATTTTCCCATCTTCCTTATCCTGGGTCCCCTATCCTGTCATCCATCTTCCTCATCTTATGTCATGACAATTCCTCCTTATCTTGTAAGCAACTGTCTTCCTCATCCTGTCCTCACAAAAATAGACCCCTGTCCCTCTATAAATTGCTAGTCCTTCTTCCAGGGCTAGCCCACTGCTTTTGTGTCAATAAAGCTCCCTTTGGTTAAGAGAAAGTAGTCTCAGTGAATTCTTCCACACCTGAACCACTCTCCCAAATCTGACCTCAACATAAGTATTAGGACTTTATTTGTTTCATAAAAGAGCCTGGTAGAAAACTTTCTTTTATGAATCCATTGAACAGGAATTTATTTTCTTCAGTAATTCCTTTACAACTAGTCAGTTTCCTTTTCTGAGATTAAATTATTTAAGGTCTCTATATTTTGTCTTCTGTTAGTACGAATATTTTATATTTTTGAAGGTATTCCTCTATTTTGTGTTCTCAGTTTTGTTAGTATATCACTGTGTATAGTAAGCTCTGATAATTTTTTAAAATTTCTTTTGGTACTGTAGTGATTTCACCTTGTTCAATTATTATTTTGTTGATTTGATTTTCTGTTCCCTTCTTTTTAATGAGGTTAGATAAAGGTTTATCAATTTTGCTAGTCTTTTTCACCACCTTTTAGATTTGGCTGTCTTTTCTATAGTCTTTTTGATTTCTAATTTATCTCCTCTACTTTTCAGTATCTCCTCTTTTGTGCTTATTTTGGATTTATTTGTTGGCTTTCTAATTTAAAAAAAGATAAATATTCAATCAGTCCTCCCTTTTTCAATTTTTTTTTCTTTTGGAACTAAACTGCAGCCACAGAATACCTTGAACCTAGCATAGTATTTCTGAAGGCCCCACATGTATTGAGGAGGAAGAGACCACTGTAGATAGTACAAATAAAATCTTACATAAAATCCTTAGCATTTAATAAAATAGAACTAATGAATGGGGCAAGTGGCTTAAAAATATTTTTTAAAGGTCTTTGGTCTGTGTGCCCTTCTAAATCTGCCTAACGTTCTGCTGTCTCTGGCATTGGTTTTGCTTTTGTTTTTGTTTTTGTAACCCACTTGTGGCTGAGGACCTTGCTTACTTTCTCTCACCCTAAATTATAATTTCCAGTGACTTTGTAAGTGGCAAGTATATATACCTGGTTCTGATGACTTTACCTTGTATCACATTTCAAAGATCATTCAAGCCCACACTGAAACAGAATCAGTCACATCAAAGTGTAAAGAACAATAGGGTCACCCACAACTCTACCCTCCCTCCCCCAACATTGCCAAGAACTGACAAGTTATTGCTGAGAAACAGCCTGTTTGATCCTCAGAAAACAAAGAGGAACCTGACAAGTAGAAGGGTTGTTGTTGATTCCTCTACAAGCCAATAAGCTTCTTGAAATTGGAAGAACAGGAAGAAGACCAGTAAAAACAAACAACTAACTGTTGTTATGAAGAAAAAATGCATGTCATAGACAAGATAATTCAGATTTAAATTGAGGGAAAAAGCCATTTTTACTGAAGAAACTCCACTTTCCATTCAAAGATATACCAGAATTGTTATCAAAAGAAGTCCAGGTGAGTCTGTAATGTGTAGACATCTTCATCAGATTGTAAAATACCTACCCCCAAAAGATGCTTTGGGGATTTTTTTTACTTCCAGTGAGTCTAGAAGTCTTGTTCCTGTTGAAGATCTGATGAACTCTGATAAATATAATAATATACTGAGAAGCAAAATGTTTTTGGAATTATAGAAATTCCCAAGTGGAGATGAAATACTGTATTGCAACCTTGCCCGATTCCACATGTTGTGAAAAGTTAAGGAATTTATCCAAGAGATGGAGATAAACATACTTTAATGGCCTTGGAACTCACTTGATTTCAACCCCATTAAAAACTCATAGACTGTAATCAAGAGTACACTTGGAAAAATGGATGTTTGCCAAAAGTACACTTAATATCTAACATAAAAAAGAGCGGTTTCATGGTAAAGAATGAAATAATATCTGTCAAAATCTTGTGAATACAATCCAAATCATGTAAAACAAGTGATTGCAGTAAATGGAGGACATATTGTACACTGAAAGCATTTTTAAGCTATACAAATTGAGTGGTTTATTGCATATCAGTGATTTTGATTATTTACTTTGTTCCAGTTAATTTACATGCTTCTATATTTTTCTACTTCAAGTACCAGACAGTTCTAATAATTATAATTTATGATATATTTTGAGATAGAGTAGAGTTAGTCCCACTCTGCTAATATAGTTCTTCACATTCTTGCCTGTCTATTTTTTCCCATATAAATTCTATAATACTTTTATCTTATTCAGTGAAATAATCAATTGTTATTTTGTTAATTATGAAAAATAATTTGGGAAGTATTAACATTTTTGTTATATTTGTTTGACATAACCATTAGCAAGGGATAGCTCTCCATTTGTTCTACATGTTCTTGATTTCTGTTGAATTAATTTTCGGTTGTCATTGTATAGGTCCTTTTTGTGTCTTGGTATGCATCAAAGTGCATATTTGATGCATTTTATCTTTATTATAAAAGGTAATCCTGTTTCTATCAGTATCCTTTTAGTCTTATTGGCAATGTATTAGAATTTAGATGATTTTTGCAGACTTATCTTTTATCCCATTACTTTACCACAGTTATTTATTACCTCCATTAATATTTTGTTGCTGTCAATTGTCTTGAATTTTCTAGTTATGCAAAAGAGATTTTTTTAATGCATTTGTTCCTAATGTTTATTACTTTAATTTTATGGCTTTTTGCTATGAATTCTAAAACTGTTAAATAGGAATGACAAAAATAGATATCCTGTTCAACACTTCTTTTGATGAGAATGCTTCTACTATTGTTTCATTGAATATAATATTTGTGCATAGTTTCCAATATCTACTTTCTGCCATAGTTTTCTCTTCTCATATTAGATTTTTAAATATAACTGAATGCTATATTTTGTTTTTAAAGGTTTTATTCTTTATCTGATGACATAATCATTAGGTCTTTATTTTTTCTTTTGTTGATATTATTTATTACACTGTTATTGATGGAATGTAAGTTCCTTGAGGGTAAGGCCTATTTCATTTTTGTTTTCCTATTGACACCTAGCATAGTGGCTGGCACATAATAGGACCTTAATAAGTGCTTATTGATTGATTATATTTTAGTATTTAACTATTCCTGCATTCCATTTTATTATGCTTAGTCATGATAGATAATTTTCTTTTATGTACTGCTGCCATTCTACTTGTATTAATTTTATTTATTTTGTGTCTGTGTTTGTTAATGATAAAGGAATATAGTTTTCTTTTTCACCTTTGTCCTTGTTTGATGTAGGGATCAATACCATGAGACTACCATTTTAGGCTACCATTAAAACATCTCTATGTTTTGAAATAATCTATACAGTAAAGACTATATTTGTTCTTAAAAAGTTGGGTAGAATAGTTTAGGGAATGGCTAAATAAATTTTGGTAGATGAATGTAATATGATATTACTATGTTGTAAGAAATGATGATTATGAAGAATATGGAGAAGCTTGAGAAGACTTATATGAACTGATGTAAAGTGCAGCATGCAAAACTAGGAAAATAGTATGTACAATGACAATGTAAATGGAAAACAAAACAAATCCCAAATGTAAACACTGTAATTACAATGTCCAGGCTTGATGCTAAAGAAAAGATGAGAAAACGTATTTTCCTCCATCCTTTGCATAGGTGAGAACTATTGGTATGGAAAAATCAACAAACCATCGAACTCAGTTGATAATATTAATTTTGCTAAATTGCTCCCCTCGCTTTTGTTCTTTGTTATGGAGGATTGTTCTTTGGATTGAGGAAAAGGGAGGGACATATTTGAAAGTGAAGGTGATGTAAAAAAAGAAACTATATCAGTACAACATTTTAAAAAGTTTAGTAGATTTCAGTTGTGAATCCATCTGAGGACGGTCTTTTTTTCAACGGTACTTCTTTAATGGCCTGTCTTATTTCTCCTTCTGAGACTGGTCTATTTAAATTATTTACTTCTTGTCTCATTCAGTGTTTTTTTGTTTGTTTGTTTGTTTTGTTTAGGCAATTGGGGTTAAGTGACTTGCCCAGGGTCACACAGCTAGTAAGTGTCAAGTGTTTGGTCTGAGGCTGGATTTGAACTTCAATATCCCTGACTTCAGGGCCAGTGCTCTACCCACTGCACCACCTAGCTGCCTCTCTCATTCAGTTTTGGTATTTTATATTTATGTGGATATTCATCCATTTATTTTAGATTTTGCAATTTATTACCCAAAGAGAGTAGGAAAAATAGGTCTCCTTGGTCAGCTCTG